GAAGAAGACTTGAAAATTGCAAACCTTAGAGCCTTAGAGGAGAGATATGATGATGAGAAAAATGTGATGAAATTTTTTTCTTGTTGAACGTGTGAAAATGATATAAATAGAAAAAGAGACAATTCCAAAAGAGAATCCTCTGAAAAAAATAAGATGCGCAACTGTCAGACATTGCTCTATTATTTTTTTATTTCTAGCAAAGAAATTCAGGGAACAAATTTTAAAATGTATATCAAATAAATTTCTTATTTTCAAAAGTTGTATGCACGTATATTTAAGTTTTAATGATTAAGTTTAAAATATAGGAGATAATAACGGTATTTATTTATGTTTTTTATTTTAACAGGCAATATGATTGTTAAAAATCGTGTAAGATAATTTCACTTATTTCATTATAACATGCATATTTTGTAAAAGTAAAGATCTGAGAGTTTATATCAATCATAGCGGGAATGACGGCAAATGAAGAAAGAGCCACAAAGAAAATGGCGAGTTTTATCGGTCGGAAGTGGTAATGTAAGCGTAATGATTCTCTAACGAGGTGCGAGTCAGTCTTGTTTCGCCAAAGGAAAAAGAGGCTATCTTGTGCGGAGGGAGCAGAAAGAAAAACCCTTTTTCTTTGCCTGTCGGCTATCTGTGTCTTCGCTACCGACCTACTGATAACCCTTTTTTCCCTTCCAATGCATCCCTCTCGCGCCTTCCCTCTTCTCACCCTCGTATTCCAGCTCTGAGAAATTGTATCTGCGCTTCTCCTCTCGTTGCGCATTGCCTTAAATATTCCACTCTGTTTTCTCCGTAACTTCCGATTGCACGCGCCGGAAGTCACGCTGCACCCTTGAATGTATTCCCAGAAAGGAGAGCTTGAGAGAGAGGGAGAGAGAGAGTGCAATTCTTGACAGGAAAAACTGCGGAAATATTCTTGAGCGTCGTCGTCCTCCTTGCAACTCGATAGAGTTTCTCTTTCAGGCGATATCGAATGAAAAGATAAGAATTATTAATACTGAACGCGCTTGCGAAGTGCAATAGCGTTATATCGGATATCTGCAAGCTGCAACTGTTTGCCTAGCTAAAAAATCTTGTAATCTGCGAGGAATTATGAAACAAATTTTCTATTGATGAAAATTTAATGGAGAGACATTATTCGACAAATTTTTATTGCCGATGTTAAATATCTTTATGAGAGAATTAATTTAAAATTCTGCTAACGATAATATACTAACGCAAAAGTGATTTCTTAAATAAGAAAGTTTGCTCGAAAATGGAAAGGACCTCATCAATTATTTTGATTATTCTTCTTTTATTTGCATAATCCATTAACTATATACATTTATCATATCTATCTATTTTTATTTTGATTTAGTATTTTTTTATTTCTGGTTTCGAACAGATCGTGACTTGTTTTTAATATACGAACACATATATAAAATATATTTAATTTTTAAATTTTTATTTTCTTGTTTGTTTTTTTTATAGAACAAACTTTCTTAAATATTGCGAATATATATACTCTTCATGAGAAGTGTTGATTTATGGCATTAAGTCAACATCAAAATGATCGCGAAACACGAGTTATTGTATAGTGATTTGTAGTTTAACTCGCGGAAATTGGCGATGAATGAACGCAATGCGCTGCTTAATCGGTTCGGCATTTCCGAGGACTATCAGCCGGCCAGACGAAACTAGCTCGCTTGTACCACATTATATCACCGATTGCACTCTCGTACATTCTTGTCGCTATCACAGGGTCGAAACTCTTTCCACTCCGGCTTTTACGCTATTTATTATTAATCGAATCAGAATCACTAATCGATATTCCCAAGTGCTCTTCCGCCTACTAATTATTGCGAAATACTAATAAATCTTTGCCAAATTTAGGAGTTTACTACTTTTGGAAGCAGATTCGTTGACGAAGATTTCTTTTTATTACGATATTAAAATACCAAAAAATTTTTAAATTGTTAATAATTGAAAATGAAAAACTTTTTGCATATTAAAAAGGTTAAGGTTTTAATTATTTATATCAATATGCAATCTCTCATTATATAAAAAATATATATTATTTTTATTACATAACATATTTCTAATTATTTGTTAATTTTAATGCTTAATCTCAATACATTAGTTTTATTTTCAATTTTATATTATATTTTTCATTTTATACAAATTTTTTAAATTATACATATGAGTAAAATAACTGATTGGTACAAAATATAGCATTTTATTTGTTGTTCTACAAATATTTTCAAAGCATCTCAGAATTCTTGAAACATCTTTAACTCGAAAAGAAACTAGTTTTTGTCTGTTTTTATCTATAAAAGTCGTTCAATTTATCCTTTTGTAAAGGCAGTGCGAGAGCACAAGCTGCCGATCGGCAGAAGACTTCTGATCGTTGAATCACTTGTGAGCAACACCGGCTATCAACGGCTCGTGACCTATCGATTCGCTTGCAATACTCCGTATCAAAGTGCTCGCGATTGGAGCATGTATCGGAATTGCGCCGGAATTGCGCCTTGCTGTCGATAAGCGCGGAAATCGCGCTTTCTCGACGATTTACTCAAGATTCTCTTTTCGAGGGTATAAATCGACGATCGAGACCACATTTACTTTTAGAAAAATACCAACTACTCTCTCGCCACGTGTCCTCGAAATCTTACTCGCTTGTTCTCGGAAAAGCCTTTTCATGTTTTAACATTATCAAAATCTGTTATCCACGAAGTATATCCTCGGGACGGAGATTCTTCTTTTAGTAGTGACGATGATATGCTCTCGAAAGGGAAGGAAGAAAGAGGGTGTTATCTAAATACAATTATATTTAGTATGCGTGTTCTATGTGCTTATGTTAGCTGAAAGTGATTCTTGGATATACGCAAGATCTAACACTATCTGCTTTTAATTTTAATGATTTTAACGAATTTAAAATAGATTATTTTTTTATTAAAATGTAATGAATAATAGTTTGCGTAAGTAATTTTTTTTTCTATTTAAAGTATCGAGTTGATAATCGTTTCTAAATCGAGATTAATAAAATTCAAAAGCGATCGCAAATAAAAATTTTATCTATTTTTATTCTAATTTTTTCTGAGAAATCTAATTATTGTTATATTTATGAATTTGAATATTAAAAAGTTACGAGATAAATCGTCTTGCATGAAATCTTTTTTCATCGAAAATCTCTGAATTTATGTCAAACTATTTATCGTAGAATTAAAACGCAGAATTTATAGTAGCATCGTGTGTGACTACGCGTTTTACATAGAATCGCTATACTTTTGCCGCAGCCTTCGATCAAAAGTCGCCGCATGCAATTCGCGGCACTCGACACCGTTTAAGACTCGTCGCGGCCGTTAAAACACTGGCGATCGAGAAAGTTTGCGAATTTATCGCCTTAATCTTGTCCGGGAATATTTATGACTGGTCCGGCTGGCCAACCGGTCGCGAAAGTTCGCTTTGTTTCGTGCGAAACTCACGCGTTTACATCAGAGCTCTCGTCCTGCTTTGTGACCATCGCTATCATTTCCTCCCTCTCCCTTTCTCTATGATCAACCCTGGAACCTATGCAAAGCCGACTGTTGTTTTTAGATGCACGCGGACGAATTGCACATGGGATGTAAATCCGCAGGAAGACATCCGACCGAGCTGAAACTTGGCGGATAATAGTGAGCTTGCTCGCTGAATCCACTCGCGGAAACTTACGACAGAGCGTTAAACTTTAAACGGGATCGCCTTTGCATTTTACAAGTTGTATTATACAGAAAGTTTGCCGATCGACTCGACATGGACAGCGACGTCGACTTATTACGGTATAGACTGAACGAATGAGTAGCGAATGTAAAATTCCAGGTTTCAATTCATCAAATGAACCTCTCTTTTTCACTTATCAAAATATTTTTTATTATTTTGAATGGTAATAAATCCTTAAAAAACAGGAAAATTCTGAAAAAGAAATATGTAAAAATATTAATAATACTTTCCTATTATTTATACATTTTTACAATATGAATTTTAAAATAGATATACATCTCTTTCAACTCTTACCTTCGGTTTTAATTCCACATGATTGTCACATACTAATAATTATCTTACTCTTATTACTTATATCTATATTATTCTTTCATTTCATTAACTCAGCAAAAATATGTCAGTTTCCAGCTTTGATATTTTTATTTCGTTAAAATTATAAGACAATTTGTTTAGTTAATAATCAAAATAATTTATAAAGGTTATTATGGAACATGGATTAAATAATATAATATATATAGAATGAGTTTTATATAAACATAAGTAGCGCATAATTCTGCGCTATCGTATCCATTTTTTTATTTTAAAATTTTTCTATCTTTTCCATTTCTATCATACAATGTATTCTGAGGTTTGATTTTTATATTTAGCCTTTTTTCATAAACAGAAAATTTTTTCATTGCTACTACAACAACAATATACTTTGCGCTTTTTTATTAACAAAATTGTGAAAATAATACTACATGTTGGCATCAAGGAAATTTCTAATATTTTATATAAAAGTCCTAGGTCATTCGTTTCTATAAGATGAGAGATGTAGGTACAAAGATTGATTAAAATAACTACGAAATAATTATTTTATACTGCTTTTTTTCATTTTTCTTATATTCATATTTTATCTTATTTACATTTAGCATGCGTCGATAATATATCTGTTATTTATTATTTTTATATTTAATGTTTTTGTGTATATATATATGCTGAATATATTATATTTCTTTATTGATGTTCATATATTTATACGAATAATATATTTTCTTAATAATTTTATTTATATAACGAAAAATTTGTTTATTATCAAATATATCACAGTATAAATCATTATATTATTACTAAAAAATATATTTGATATAAAATATTATGTGCTAATAAAACTCAACAACAAATATAATTTTTTACATATAGTTTTTTATTTACATACAAAATTACATATTAAAATGCAGATTAGAAATTTATTATTTTGATATTATGTATTCTAATATTATACAGGATGTTTTAAAAGCATATTTTTATTGGCAATAAAAAAAAACGGACTGCTCTTTATGAATTGGAGAGCGAACAAACAATATACATTTTTTGATTAATTTTATTATGGTTAATTAAATAAAATTTAATGGAATTTTAAATTTAGTTTAAATTTGAGATTTAGATATATAATGTAATGACATATAAATTATTATAAATAATGAACATTTTATATGGCTTATTGATATGTTATGTATACTTTTGATAATCATAAAATGTAGGCTTACTCATCTTCACATCTTTATCTTTATCTTAATCGTCATCTATACATAACATATGTTTAACCCTCGATCGATCGATTATTCCATTGGGAAGGTATGGCATTTTGTTTTTAAGGAAGCACAGTCCCCCACGAAGTGCATAATTGTCGTCGTTTATATTATCTTCCACAAATTCCATTAGTTCTTCTTTCGTCACCTATAAGAAACAATGACATGAACTTTCCGTAAACAGATTCGCTTGATTTAATGAGAAGCAAACAGCTTTTAAACCTTTGCTCCTGGCATTTTTACAACAAATGCTTGCGGAACCTGGCCCTCGATTTCATCTTCCAGACCAACCACGGCAGCTTCGGATACATCTGGATGACGTTGTAATACTTCTTCGATTTTTGTCGGCGAAATATTACAATCTTTACATTTAATCATATCTTTCAATTTACCAATGACAAAAATATCGCCGTCTTCGTCAAAGTAGCCCACATCTCCGGTATAATACCATCCTAAGAGATACGCATTATTGTTTTCATTAATAGTTTGCATAACTATTGAATTTTATAAGGTATTTTAGAAATAATAATTATGAAATCAATTAAAAAGAGCTGTAACGGACCTTCGTTCGTACGTTTCACATCGTATTTACTCTCTAATGTTTTTATCAGGTCAGGAACTGTCAATGTGATTGGAGTTTGGCACCAGATTTCGCCACATGTGTTTGGACCCACCGGTTGTCTCGTTTTCAAATCAACAAACATTAATCGAACATTATTACTCACGTAACCGCTAGACCCGATCTTACCGGTATGCCGTTGATAAGCGATTACACCTGTTTCCGAAAGACCTGAAATAATCCAAGGATTGTTGACTTTAGATATTATATTGTTAAATATTGATTACAATATAATTGTAACAAATATACGCACAGTATACTTGAACGATAGATGCGTTCGGTAACGATTTGATAAGACCTTCCTGAACTTCGCGTCTAATTGCTGTATCACCGAATAGCACTTTTTTCAAGGAAGAGAGTTTGTATTTTTTAAAAATGTCGGTGTTAGATAATTTATTGCACATATTGCTTTTAAGAAACACCCACGTCACCTGAAGATAACACACGATTGAGTAAATTTTTTTAATGCTATTTTATTAAATAAGTTTATTAAGTAAAAAAATGGAGGATGTTATATATTTTATTTTTATTCTCGATTCTTATGTTTTCAAGTTACCTTATATTTATCTATTATTTGGCATAAATTTTCTTGATCGAACGTGGATGGCTTGATCGCTGTCACATACCAAAGTATACAACGAATAGTCAACAGTAGACTATGAGTCCAATTTAGAGATTCGTACCAAAGACCAATGTCGTCGGATTTCATAATCGGCGTTTGATCGTTCGATGGAGCCAGGAACGCTCCGTAAGAAATGAGCGCCTGGCCAGGATAATTCGCCGTGTTGGAAGAAAACATCGTTATCGTATTTTTCTTTTCATTATGTTCTGCGCACGTAAACATATCGATGTCAAACTGATCAAACTCGCTGCTCAAGATTGAGCCGAGAGAGTCATATTCACTGTGTAATTTTTCATCAAGAATTATTACTTTCGAAAAAACTGGTATATCGCGGTATTGCATGAGCAGGAGAGCCCATTTGAGAAGTAAACTAATTTCATCGTCAATAAAAATTACGTCTGGATTAAATTCCAATAAAAAATAAAGAACTCTTATATTGTCTGAAAAAAATTTGTTATTGAGTAAATAGAAGAGATACATATATAGGAATATATGTGATAAAAAAGAAATTATTTTCCGAATTTTTTTTCCGAGGAAAGACCAGACTATACCTTTCAAATATCCGGTATCCCACGGATTCACAGTAAGATTGAGATATATGCATGCTAGAAACGGCATGTAGGCTTGCATTTGATTGCGTGTGCATATCGTTACTACGTCGTTCTCTTTAATGCCTTGTTTTTTTAGCCATAATGCTAACTTCACGCTCTTCTCCCTCATCTGCTGGAATGTAACTTCTTCTCCCGTTTCCGCATCTATCTGCGAAAAATATGTTAATTGCATTTGTATTAAATAATATACTAAATATACATCTCATCTGGTAGAATATTATAATTTTGCTTTCTAATTAATCAATGCCTCCTTCCTACACCCGTATATTAAATCACTATCATGTTAACCATCATGTTAAATAAATCTTATTATTAAAATGTCTTACCTGGCCAACGAATTTTGGCCTACTTATAAATGCGCTTAAAATCAAATCTCCAAGATTTATATAATTACTTGAACAATTTTTGCCAATGATAGTATTGTTCACTCTCTGGAATGGAACTTCGTCTTCTTCCTGGATTGCACATTTCCCGGATTCCTAAAAATATAATTATTAATAACGCTCTTATATATTTGTAAATCTTATAAAATGGATTAAATTGTTATTTTTTACCTTATTTTCAATTTGCGGATTAGGTGACATTTCTTTATCTACGTTATTGCAATAATGAAAGTTATGAAAAATAATGAAAGTTATGAAAAACAAGGGTAATAGCGTTACGTGTCACAAGAGAACTACATACGACTAACGATAAGTTTTATATTCTACTGGTACAATACTTGTTTATGATTATGATGTATAACGATCTTAGAAGGGTCACAAATTGAAAATATTTTGCTCAGGCAGGACTGAGTGAGAACGCAGAGCCGTAGCGAATTTAACTGTCACCTCCAACGTATCTTTTAATTCTCCCTCGTCACGACATTTTATATTTTTATATTAATTTTGAATATTCTTTCTTGCATTCGGTGATTTGGCACGCATTCGTCCCGATCTGTTTTTTGAACGACACGTGTATCGGAATAAAAATTTTATCTCGTTTTCGACATCCATATAAATATTATATCGATATACACAGCAATCTAGACGATCGTACCACCTTAACGTAACAGAACCGATTGGCCTTTGATTGAGGAAAATCTATTTCGACAGCAACAATTTGTTTCGCGTACATCCGCGCGAATTGTGCACCGTAAACGGATAACAAATCATGCGTCGAAATGCAGGATGAATTATGCTACGTTTTCGTATGCATCTGATATTCCGTAGTCGGGAATACAGCTCGTGATGATCGAATTTTCTCTCGTTTTTCCGTCGGCGATATGTCCGAAATGTCGATACGTCTTAAACTTTGAACACGTTTATGGGATTAATATATTGTGCTTGGAAAATGAATTTTTTCGATTGCTAAAGTGATATAAATCATTAAAGGAAAACGTTTATGAATATTACGTTATCTTAATCGAATATAAATGATGAAAGTATGATATATTTAAATATATTGATTGATAAGTATCTTCATCTATTATTAAACATTATTAAATAAAGTGTGATATACAGATTTTTAAATAAAATCGATATTTCGTCTGTTATATTATTCATAAAACAATAAACAATCTTTTTTAATAATTTTGATAATTATTAAATGATGTTTTACGTTTATTTTACATATCAATGATATATTAAATACCATAATGCTATATTGATTTTTTACTGAATTGAAACGACTAATAATTTCGTCATTGATAATTTTTTATTTACTTATTTTTGCTTATATTCATTCTGTATGAGTATAAATTTATAAGAGGATTTCATGCATGACATGCAATTTAAATAATTTTTTATACCACAAAAATATGTTTTCAGAGTTTTATCTCTCAATTTTTTAAAATAAGTTTTTGTAAGAAAAAACCAGCTTTAAGATAAAAATGTAAATATTATTTTCTGTGGTTTAAAGTATTAGTTAAACTATTCCTTGATTGTTTGTTTACTTATCCTAAAGTACAACTTTTTTATTTAGTACGCAAAAAAAAACATTTGCTCTTATAACTTTGATTAGCCTTAGATCACTTATGGCAACTATTTTGTCAATCTTTTCGTCAAGTGGTCGCACGAATGGTTGTACGAATCCAGATATATCAATTTTCGCTATTTGTCGTTTTATTAGCCATGTTGATGTATATGTTCCGCGAGGAGAATGTAAAGTATCATGCAAAAAAGGATTGCCGATAACAAAGCTTAAAAAATCCTACTGGTAGAAAAGAAGAATGTAACGCATTGTGCGAGTCATTTCTTGAAATATGGCACAATTTTGAAGCCAACTATTGCCATTGCTTTTGTTCCGGCGAACAAAAACATCGTCTGCGGGAATTTTCTTCTCTGTCTTTCTCTTTCTTTTTTCTTTTTTTTTCTCTCTCTCTTTCTCTCAAAGAAATTCGTTTTATGTCATAGGGATTATATTGTACTTTCGAAAGTTACATGCGGAAGTAGATTCGAAAGTACAACGTTTTCGGACAAAATAGATTGCATTTCGGGATTGGCCAAAACTTTCGCCTCAGCAAAACGTGACTAACTTAAATAATATTATCAGAGAGAGAGAGAGAGAGAGAGAGAAAAATAAGTCAACGAGAGTGGAGAAATATTTAATGGTGCTACGAAACTAATTGCAGTATGACAACTGCTTTATTTCTGGATTTTATTTTACCTATTTCTTATTTGAATTTTGTTATTATCGAGATAATTTCATTTTTTATTTTCTTTTATTAGTTAATATTATATAATTTTCCCGAATATAATTAAAGATATTGATTGCGAGAAAAATAATATTTATCAGCTAATTTTATAAATGGATATTTTTAACAAAATTGCAATTCAAAGTTTAATTATATATAATATTAAAAATTGAAAGAAAAC